AAGTGACTCCTCTCTGTTAGTCAATGTTATTCAAGGCCAATATAAAGTTCTATAGGCATTTTACATAGTAGCAATAAACTGTAGACATAGTCCCTCAAATCGTATGTGATCCATCTCCCATATCTATCGCGTGGCTAACATGGTAGCAGGCACCTTTACCAAAAAGGCCACGTCCCTCTCTAGTGCTATGGTTTGGCACGCTAGAGTGCCAGATTTTATCTCCCTTCATGTATTTCATGATTTTACACAGTAGCAATAAACTGTAGACATAGCCTCTCAAATGGTATGTGGTCCATCTCCCGGATCTATCACGAGGATAACATGGTAGCAGACACCCTTGCCAAAAAGGCCATGTCCCTCTCTGGTGCTACGGTTTTGCGTGCTAGAGCGTCAGATTTTATCTCCCTTCTTGTATTTCATGATTTTACATAGATGCCCAACTATAAGGCTGTAAAATATGAATTGTATTTCTTTATCTTTATTAATGAAAAACGGTATCCAAAAAAAAGAATTAGAATGTATACTTACCCATGTAGGCAAGGTTCACATTCTAAAAATCCAAATCTTCGTTGTTCAAGTTGACGAGAAGAGATGGACACATCTTAACAACGATCCACACGATGTCCCTTCCAACTACATTCAGACCTTGAGAAAACTTTCCCTCAAACGTTTGTGTAGAACTCAATAGGTAAATAAACTTTCACTCAACTTTTCACATATAAGAGCTTAAGATGTTTTTAATGCAATCTCCGAGATCTAGCAATTGACCTGGTAAATAGAGCTTAAGATGTTTTTAATGCAATCTCCAAGATCTAGCAATTGACCTGGTAAATAGAAAATCATATGCCTTGTAAAGACTGTCAAATTTTTTGATGCTCTTATTGAAATATGGGAAAAGATCCTACCAGCTTATCAGCTGATGAAATAGTGTAAGTTCAATGGTTCAGATTGAATCTGTAACGATATGATGGTAATAATTGTATTTCATATTTTATTTTTAATTTTATTTTTTTACAAATTCAAATCACTTGAAATTTGTAGCGTTCATTCTTCTCACTAAGGCACACCTCATAAAATTATTTAAAAATTTATTTGTAAAATTAACCAAAATACCCATATAATTTTCAAATGTACATTAGTCAATTTATTTTTAAAAATTATTTTTTAATATTTTTATTTGATTCGTCTATTTTTTATGCCTCATTTATTTTAAAATTTCAATTGGCCCCGGCCCCCATCTTAAAGATATGTATTTGATGGTCCAAGAAGCACATGTGTCCCCCGACTCATCAAACACTTTTCCTTTACATTTTATTAATATTTCCCAAATTTTTAATACAAGGGAATCCACTATCCATTTCTCATTAAGTACTGCATGGGCTAATATATGCGCACACATAAATGCACCGCTTCAATTTCAAAAACTGGTTCAATCCAAGAATGGTTGACCAAGAATTAACTTAAAAAAAAACTAATACGATCTTGTTGGGGAGTATATATTTTTTTTTTTTTTTCTTTTCACCCAATTTTTTTTCTTTTCTTTTCTTTTGGCAAATATCACTTACAAATAGTCTTATTATAATAACTCTTGTTTCAAAGAAAATAAAACTAAAAAATCCAAAATCTTAAAAACGTTGATGTCATTAAACTAATTTTCTTTAAATAAATAAAATATCTATAATTCTTATGCTTGGGAATATAAAAATAATATAATTAAATATGAAAAGAAACAAAAAAAAGAGTGCCGAAGATTACCTCAACCAGACTTATTACACCCCAAACCGAGTCACCATCATTCGATAGTGCAGGATCAATGATCAACCTTCAATTTCAACTAGAAAAACAAGTTTAGGCCAAGCCACACCAATAGAACATGAACCCATTTGATCACAAAATCAAACCCTAGGTGAATTCTTTTATCGACCTAGTTTGAAAGAGATAGATTCTCTTTTTGCTAAAGATAGATTCTCTTTTTGCTAAACCCTAAAACCCTAAGCCATAAATCCATAGTTGAGAAATAGTAGAGAGAAAAACTTCATAACCTAAATCATTAGGTTCTTTCACAATATGGGAGAGAGAGATCAAAGATGAGAGAATGGGACATGCGCCATTTTTTGGCTTTCATGAGAGAGAAAAACTTTTATTATGAGAGAGAGAGAAATTCTAAGTGGGATATGAAAGAGAAATATGGAATTAGGTACAAGAGATAAAATGTAGAGATTTTTGGATAGAGAGAATAATTTTTTTATAGGTTTTGAACAAGATTAAGGTTTCTTAGGCTCTTTCTTAGCGTGCATCTTTTCTTGAGATTAAATATGAATCAATAATCTTGAGTGACTTGTGGGATAAGATATTTGAGTCATCCATTACATAGATTGGCCATCAACATTATGAAAGGTGCATGAACCATTATCCTTTTTCCTAAATCATTTTCTCATTAATAGAAAATTAAATAAATTAAATCTAATCAAAATATTATGCATATCATAAAATAGCACAAGTCTACTCAATCTTTCCACAAAATATTTCAAAGACATATCAAGTCAATATTTAGTCAATATCTTCCAACCATATAGCCACATATCATATCACCACAAAAATAGTAAAGAGAATAAGGGTGAGCGTGCCACCCAAGGGAGGCACTCATGGGCCCCACTTTCTAAAAATATGGTGGGCCCATATGCACAATGGGTCCCCATGATATTTTTATATATTTAAAATTAATAAAAATATTTTTAGAATATTATTTAAATATTTAAATAATTGTAAAATCAATATATTTAATTTTATAAATCCAAAAATTATAAATAAAATATCCATGGGTTAATAAAAATTCAAATAAAAATTCTAAAATAATTTCCACAGTAAAACAAACACAATTAAATTAATTTGATGGGAAAATGATCCATATGGTTTATGAATTAAATCAACAATCATGGGGCACTCTACCTTCAATTGTGGACTACAGACCACACTTGTTTTATCAGACCGGCCCAGTGTTTCCCATGACTTACAGTCCAAGCAGAGCTCATTAGCGGGTCACCAAAGTCAGGTCGATGAGCCAAGGAATCGTAATCCCAGTCTGTAGATTTCAAGTCCACCCCTAAAGACGAGTCAATGTCACCTAGACCTGATGTGACCATAGCTCCTATGGTACATATGGGTATCTCTAGCACATGCATACACTTCACTCTGAAAGGTGATTTACTTGTTTTTTCGAATGATCTATCAATATACATACCGTGTGATGACACATGGATGAGACTTTGGCCCCCATCTACGTAGGCCACCATCACACACAAGGGTCACACAGTCCCTCAGCTCACTCATCCGGGCATATGCTCCGACCACATCAAGGGATGACCCATTAGAATCCTTCTCGGTTTGTTCTCTATGCTCAGGTAACATGGGGTTTTTCCAATTCACTGCCCTAGATTGTCAAGCATAGTTCGATATCAGCAAACATCGTTTGCTTAGTATGATCCACAAGAGACCACACTCCCACTGAATTCATGTTCTACTATATTATTTCATTTTACAAGCACTCACAAGGCTTTTAAAGGCCACATAAACCCAATAATAACAAGAAAACAAGCACACAAACTCTTATTAGAAATCTAGCATTAAAAAAGTCCCCCTAAATTGGTAGGACTATTTATAAAAGCAGAGTTGAAAAAGAATAAAATAAAAAGCAACCAAAACACTATGAATAATTTATTCCTAATAACAATGCTTCCAAGTTGGATCATATCTCATCAATTCAAGTTTCTCTTTCCCGATGGCATTATTTAAATTTTCTAAGAACTTGGGCACTTCCATAATTTTAATGAGAAAATGACACAAAGGAGGCATAGTCTATGACATATTCCTGCTCTTTTTTTTATTGGACACGGTTTTGGTGAGTCAGCCATCTCACTTATTACCGTGTGGTCCCTTGTCTATCTAACATCCATTTCGAAGATGGATATAAAAAAAGCGCTACATCTACTAAAAGTTAAAATAGATAGTGAAGAAGAAATTCAAAAAATAATATTCCTATCTTTTGAAAAAAGAAAAATTTCAAAATTATATTATTGTCGTAGTTGAGATTATTGAACTCTAAAAGTTTGGATTGAAAAGACATATTTGAGACATTTTGTAGAGAGGCCGACTCACCAAATAGTTTTCCTTATTTATTTATTTAATATTGTTAATATTTTTCTCCCTGTCCTTTTGTGGGCAGGCGTTACTTCCACTATATGTTGAATCCACGTAAGACTGCAATCGACTGTGGTTAAGCTCATTGTCCAAAACAAAAATTATTAACCCATTTACTTATATGTACAGAAAATGTTATAGTCGCTCTTATCCGTCAGATTTGAAATCAGGCGGCTAACGAAGTCGAGAAAAATTTTATTCGTTTTTTAGCTGTGATTAGCCAATCTAAAACCGCGAGATTTTGCATCGAACGGGTAGAAACTGACTCTCACCTTATTGTACGAAGCTCAAATGATGCTATTGCATACTCCTTTTTTTTTCCTTCCAAAAAAGCATATGATAAATTTCAATTGAATTTGTTACAAATATTGGTTTGGATTATTGGAAATCATTGCCTTCACTTGAACTTTAATATCCTTGTTGTTTATGTCTCTGTGGAATTGTTTTTAAATTTTAATCAAGTAACGTTTTGTTTGGAATGCAGGTTTAGACACTAATTAGACAACAATGCATAGATTAGATTAGTTTGTTTGTTGTAATCCATCCCAAAAATGAAGTTGAGTCCTAGAGAGGTTGAGAAATTAGCTCTGCATAGTGCAGGTGTTCTTGCCCAAAAGCGTTTGGCTCGAGGCCTGAAGCTTAATTACACTGAAGCAATAGCCCTGATAGCATCTCAGGTCACTTTGGTGACCCTATTCTATTTATCTGTGGTTGAAAATTATGAATAAGTTCACCAGTAGACTGTTGTAATTATGATAGAAAGACTCACTGATAATTGGCATCTTGTTGAAATTTAGGTATTTGATTGCGTTTCTGCTCAGGATGGTGGATATTCTTAGAGTAGTTTCTTATTGTATATGTGGTTTTGAAATGTAGATTACAGCACCACTATGTCACTAGATGATTTGAAGATTGTGTAGTCATATTAGTAATTGAATTTTCGTAGGTTAGCACTCTTTTCTCCAGTGGATGTTATGGAAAGTTTCACAGAAAATACAGGGGTTTTACACTGGAATGGATGTTTGGAACTATTTATTTAAATTAACCTGGATGGAAAAAGCCCATATCATGCTTGTGAAAATTGCTCTATCAAAACTTTGTTTCGAGTGCTTGTAAGAAGTGATCCGCAGTGCGAGTATCTTTCTAAAATGTTCTCCATTTCTTGCATTGCACTCGCCATCGGTATGTGTCTCTTCTTTCTATAAGAGCATGGTTTACTTTTGTTAAATAACCTACTTGAGGTCAACGATCTACCCTTTCCCAGAGCTGATGTTTCATTATGATATTACATGGACTCATTACAATAGTTTGGCAAAACAAGTTCACCATCAATTTATATGAGTCATCCTGCAATTTATATTGATGTGGCTCTTAAATATGGTAGTACTCATGGTGGTTTGGTGGCTGTTTTTGTCCTTTTTGTATGAATTTGTACTTTTGAGCATGTTCAGGAGCATGATTCAATTGAAGCAATGCCGTGTATGCCTACATGGTTTAGATTCTGCAAATTTTGATCATCTGTGAATGTTATAGTAAAGCTCAGAAAATTGGGGTTAGCGATTACCATATTGTGGATTCTGCTCTATTTCTTTTTAGTGCTTTTAATCTTACTGTTTAGGATGCATTTGATTGCAAATTTATGATGATTGCTTCTGTTAATAAGGACAATTATGAGATATTTTTCATGTTGAAATGGGTCTGGTGAGATACTTGAGAACTTGAGACTCAATGCGTTCATGACAAGAGCATCTGGTATGCTTTTCTCTTTTGTTATCAACTTTATATGAACTCTTAACTATTTGTTTTTCGGAATTGTCATCTTGAGTTTGTTTCAGATGGCATAGTGTCATACATATGTTGGCGAGGGTGCACAAGAGTTTGCCAACTAGATGTTTTAACATTTTTGTTGATGAAGGGGTTAACATAATTGTTTGACAACAACAATGCTATCCTATGGCTATTTGTAGGACTGAACTAACTTATGGTGTCCTTAGATTACTTAAGTGATAATATAGTAGTTCTGTCATGAAATCTAAAATTTTATTTCTCATTTCTGATCAGCTTATCCTTGAGAAATATCTTGCTTGACTGGTGTTGGATTCTTAGTCACAAAATCTTGCTGGAGAAGCATTTGATTCGCAATCTGTTTCTAGAAAGTGGCTCATCTTTTTCATGTTTCTAATACATGCCATGATGGGTGCTGTACCATTTTGAGTTTAAGCATGAAATGAGTAAAATCACATCGAGTAATATCAAGGCATGTATTAATTTTTTAAGTTCATTCATTCAAGCTTGATGGTAGGTGCTGTATTGCTTTAGTCGTCTCTTATTTTACTTAATACAAAAATAATTTCTTTTATTTATGTTAAAAATCAATTTCTTCAAAAAATATATCAGCTCTCTCTGTTCTTTTGAGGGCTTGTTGTCAGTTGTGATGCTCAATGCTTCTTCAAACTTTGATTTGTATTATTTTTTAACTTGTAGACTTCTACTTAAACCAACTTGGGAACTGCTTATTTATCTTTCTTCCTTCCGTGATGTATTTGTTTTGAAAATAGGTTTTGGAGTTTATAAGAGATGGTAAGAGTGTATCAGAGCTTATGGATCTTGGGAGGCAAATTTTGGGAACGTAAGTCCTTTGATCTTTAAAGTAAGTTTTGGTGATAATTGTGTCACAATGTTGCCTTTGCACTTCCCAGTGAAATTTACACGTAGTTTATTAGAGCTCATTGTAATTGTTAGATGACGATTTGTTTGGTTAAGTGATAGTACTGCCAGATGTTTCATATGAAAGTGGAGAGAAATAACTTTTTGATCAGCAAAAGTGTGGACGAGACCCTTTTCATAATTTTAAAAATATTATTGACCATGGATTTGGTGAGACCGCGCTTGTTTCACGAATAATTTAAATTTCCCTACAACCAATGTGGCTGGTGGGAGAAAGTGAAGATGAAAAGCAAATCCACCTCATTGCTTAATTCTATTAATTCACTAGATGTCAAGAGAGTGTGTATATATATATATATATATATATATGGGAAATGCTGGCGTAGTCCCACTAGCCTACAACTACATATAGGCTAACGACTGATCCAATGATCACGATTGCATTTCGTATTTGAATTTATTTAAAAATATTAGAATCCAATAAAAATATAAAAAAAATATTTCGTGAAAAATAAATTGACCAAAATACCCCCGAAACATTTCAGAGGTATTTTGATCAATTTATGT